CAATAAACCACTAGAAAACCGGAAGTGGTGCTGTGGCTCAAGCGGTAGAGTGCTTGCCTTGAGCTGAAGAGCTGAGGGACAGTGCTCAAGCCCAGAGTTCAAGCCCCACGACCCCTTCCCACTCCCCCCCAAAAAAGAGTCTCGCAGACTCATGCCCGGGCTGGCTTTGAACCAAGATCTTCAGATCTCAGTATCCTGGGTAGCTAGGATTACAGGAGTGAGCGCCCGGTGCCTGGCTTCTTTTAGATATTTCTGTTTGGGCTAACTTTGAACTGGGATCCTCAGATCTCACCGGCAAGGGATCCTGCTCAGTTTTGAGAACTGCTGGTCTAACTGTTCTTTCTTTGTAATTAAATAATGCTAAGACTCAATTTACTTTCCTGGCTACATTATAGATTCTCAGATATTTCTAATATTGTAGATCCAAACTTAACGAGCATGATATAGTCATATAACCACTTAAGTCCTTACCTATATTAGTCAGATTTATTGTTGCTAAGAAACAGGAGGAAAGCTTTATTTTGGTCCATGGTTTGAGAGATTTCAGCCCATTATGGCAGCGAAGCAGAGCAGTTTTGTATCTGGCCACAAGGAATCAGGCATGGGTAGAGGGTGGGGCCGGGAGGGGGGGCAAAGGAGAGGGCAGAGGCGGCGGGGTGTGGGGGGAAGAAGGAAGGGAAGAGAGAGACTGCCCTGCTGCTTCCACCCGGGTTTTTTTGTGCCGATCCTGGGGCTTGAACTTGGGCCTGAGCTCTGTCTCTCAACTGTTTCACCCAAGGCTAGAACTCTGCCACTTGGCCACAGCTTTCCTTCTGGATTTTTTTGCTTAATTGAGAGATAAATCTCATGGACTTGCTGGGAAGGTGGCTCAGTGGTAGAGCGCTTGCCTTGCAATCATGAGGCCCTGGGTTCCATTCCTCAGCACCACATAAGCAAAAAGAAAAAGCTGGAAGTGGCGCTGTGGCTCAAGTGGTAGAGCGTTAGCCTTGAGCTGAAGAGCTGAGGGACAGCACCCAGGCCCAGAGTTCAGGCCCCACAACTGGACCCCCCAAAAAAAAGCAAAAACAACAACAACAACAAAAAAAAAAACTCATGGACTTCCATGTTTGGGCTGGCCACAAATTGCAGTACTGGGATCTCAGCTTTTTATGTAGCTAGTATTATAGGCGTGAGCTACCAGAGCCCAGCTAGTATAACTTTTTGACTTGCCATTTTGCTTTTTAAAATGATTCCATGTCTCCCTTGAACCAAGTTAAGTGTTAAATGAGTGTATTAATGTGTATTAGCCTGCATTTGGGTAGCATTTTTAAAAATTAGTTATAGCATTCTGGCTTATGAAATGGATTGATGGTTTTATGTTTATCTTAGAAGTCTTAGGATCATGCTGGGAAGTTGGCTCAGTCTAGAGCGCTTGCCTTGCATGCATGAGGCCCTGGGTTCCATTCCTCAGCACCACATAAGCAGAAAAAAAAAAGCGGGAAGTGGCGCTGTGGCTCAAGTGGTAGAGTGCTAACCTTGAGGTGAAGAACTGAGGGACAGCTCCCAGGCCCAGAGTTCAGGCCCCATGACCGGACCAAAAAAAAAAAAAGTAGTCTTAGGACTAGAGAGGGACAAACATTGATGTCATCTGGCATGGAAAAGGTATCTCAATTTGAAATCAGAAGTAAAATACCATTTAGTGAACACTGAAGTATTTTCAGAATAGTTTGTTAGATTCAGATTATAGTTTGATAGCAGTCTGGTGGTATTAAGACATTGCTAGCAGTATTTAAAATTGAGCAGGAGTACTTCGTTATACTGACCAGTGCTACAAACATTTTAAAATGAGACCTGACATCTCTATTCAACATCCACACATTTATAAATGGGTATGATAGGGCCAGGGAGACACAAAATACAAAACTTGAGATTCTAAATTGGGCACTGGTGGCTCATCCCTGTAATCTTAGCTACTCCAGAGGCTGAGATAATCAGGATTGTGGTTCAAAGCCTGCCTGGCTGGGCAGGGAAAGTCCATGTAGACTCATCTCCAATTAACCACCAAATAAAAGCCAGAAGTGGAGCTGTAGTTTACATGGTAGAATGCTAGCCTTGAGCAAAAGAAGCTCAGGGACAGTCCCCAGGCCCTGTGTTCAAGGCTGAACCTCCCTCCCCCCCAATTAGTTTTTATTGTTGTACTTCTAAAATATACAAATCCACCCTTGGAGCTTGAGTTTTGTCTGAATTTTTAAAAAAAGCATTTGTTTGTTATACTGTCTTTCTACTGGCTCATACTTGTGAAAACTTATGAGCTGAGGATATGGCCAATGACAAAACAGTTATCTAGCTTTTATTTTTTTGGGGGGCCTGAACTCTGGGCCTGGGCGCTGTCCCTCAGCTCTTCAGCTCAAGGCTAACCCTACCACTCGAGCCACAGCGTCACTTCTGGCTTTTTTCTTTTTGCTTATGTGGTGCTGAGGAATCGAACCCGGAGCCTCAGGCATGCAAGGCAAGCGCTCTACCACCGAGCCACCTTCCCAGCCCCCAGCTATCTAGCTTGTACTCTGCTCTCATCACTAGTGCTGCTAAACAGAACAAAGTGGGAGTCTCTCACTTTCTCTTCTTCTGTTTTTGTTTCTCTTTTTCCTACGTTTCCCTACAATAACCATGTTATACTAAAATATTCATTGCTGAAACTTACAACAAAAGTAAAAGCAAAATCAAGCCCAAGGGACAAGGGAAAATTGTACAGTTTCCTGTTTTAGGATTTTGTAGTCAACCCCACCTATAACCAGGTTTCAAATTTGTGGCCCTTTTTTAGTTTTTACTTTTTTGTTATACTGGGTTTGAACTTGGACCTCATGCTTGCTAGGAAAACTTTTTATGTTGAGTTAGCTTATTAAGCTGACACCTGATTGTGGAGCATTACTACCAGTACATCAGTCTGACTAAAGCTGTAAGGTATGTTTTATTACTTAGCCCTTTAGTTATCTTTTCAGAAGTTTTACCTACCACTTCTAAATCCCTAGTAGTGGTCATCAGCTGGAAACATAGTGTGACAGATGGCCCAGTATTGTTTTTGGAACATTTGTGATTTTCTAGCTTTTTTTCCCTCTTTGTTCCAGTAGTAGGGCTTGAACTCAGGCGTGCTGTCCCTGAGCTTTTGTGCTCAAGTCTAGTGCTCTACCACAGCTCCACTTCCAGCATCTTTGGTGGCTAGTTGAGTTTCACTTTCCTGTCCATGCTGGCTTTGAACCACAATTCTCAGATCTCAGCTTCTTTGAGTAGCTAAGATCCAGGCATGAGCCATTGTTCAATTATTATCTTGCTTTGAGTATAGAACCTAATAGATGTGCCATACAAAAATAGACACTGAATCTTTCTTTTTAATCATGGATTAAGTTACAAGAGAAATTCCATTGTAACATTTCCACAGTGTTTCAATTATATCAGTCTGTCAGTTCTCCCTTATCATACCATTCCCACCTTCCCCAAACAATTTCATTTTCATGTAGTCAAACAGATTTCTTCAACCAAAAATATTCTTCTACTTCATTAGCCCACCTCCCTCCCTGGGTCATCCTGGGACATTCTTTCTCATTGGAGGACACTGAATCTTTTTAAAATGAGTGGTGTGTATGTGTGTGAAAATGTGTGTTAGTAGAATTTCTAACCTAGAGCCTTGTGTTGGCTAGGTATGAGCTCTCCCACTTGAGTCATTCCCCCAACCCTGGCACTGAATATTCATAAAATCCTAATGTTCAGGTGGCTGACATGCGAGGGTTGTTAGTTTAAGGCCAGGCCAGTGTGACTGTGTTAATTAAGCCCTTCCCTCCCACACACTCCCTCAAAAAAAAAAAAAAAAAAGCCAAGTATGGTGCTATATACTTGTAATTCCAGCTACTTGGAGGAGGAGGTAGGAGGATCTAGTTTTGAGACCTTTGTGGACATCTGATCTAAAACACAAAAGCAAAAGTGGCTCAGTTAGTACTGTTGAGGCCCTGAGTTCAATCAGTCTGCCATGCTTAAAGCAGAGCAAAATAAAAATACAGAAAAGTAACCAGTGAAATTTTTACTGTAAAAGTCTTGGGTGTTGCGTTCTGGTGGCTCATGCCTTTAATCCTAGCTACTCTGGAATCTGAGATCTAATGATCGTGGTTTGAAGCCAACCAGGCCAAAAGAAAAGTCACCGAGACTCTCATTTCTCAAATAAACCAGCAAAAAGCTGGAAGTGTAGGTATGGTTCAAGTACTAGAGCACCAGTCTTGAACCAGAAAGCCAGGAGAGTGCAAGGCCTAGAGTTCAAGCCCTATTAACAGAACACAAGAATAAGACAAACAAGTCCTCTTGGGGATATGATTTAGAACATTAAAAAAAGTTTTAAGAGCTAGAGGTAGGACTACTTAGCAGTAGAGTGCCTAGCAAGTGGGAAAACCTGATTTCCATCTCTAGCACTGCAGGGAAATAGCTTTGTGGCCCTTTAGTACACCCATCCACTTAATTCTAAATAAGGAAATTAGCTTTTCTCTCCAATCTTGAAGATTACTGAACAATTGCTCTATCACTGAGCTACTCACCAGCCCCTACTCACTTTATATGAAACATGAACTTGGGCTAAGAATGTGCTTGCTTAGCAGGCATGAAGCCCTGGCTTTGATTCCTCAGTACCACATAAACAGAAAAAGCCAGAAGTGGAGCTGTGGCTCAAGTGGTAAAGTACTAGCCTTGAGCAAAAAGAAGCCCAAGGATAATACCTAGGCCCAGAGTTCAAGCCCCAGAACTGGCCAAAAACAAAAAACACAAAAACATGAACTTACATTGGCAAATATAAAATAAATATTTCAATATATTTATTATCCATTCCTAACTTTGAAGGATTGATGCTAAAAGAGCTGCCAGTAAGTAGAACAAGAGAATGTTGGTAATAGTATAAATTTTCTAAAGTGTAAAATTATAAACTTTTAATTTATAAACTTTTAAATTTATAAGTGAAAATTTCTTTCCTTTGTGTTTTTCTTAAGGAATTGAATGACCTGGCACGGGATCCCCCAGCACAATGTTCAGCCGGTCCTGTTGGAGATGACAGTAAGTATAACAGAAGTATAGAGACTGGGGCCTGGCTCAAGTAGTAGAGGCCCTGCTTAAGCATAATTGAGAAATATATGGAATAAAACAGCATAAACCTTGGTGGAAGTCTGGTACATATGAATATGTAAATGTATACATGTAGGTTATATATGTCCAAAGAATATTCTATGTGCAGAGATCATTTGGTACAGGGAAAAAGGAACTGTTCATAATCTTAGTTTTGCATGAAAAATCCTGTTCTAGCCGGGCGCTGGTGGCTCACGCCTGTAATCCTAGCTACTCAGGAGGCTGAGATCTGAGGATCGCGGTTCAAAGCCAGCCCGGGCAGGAGAGACTGTGAGACTCTTATCTCCAATAAACCACCAGAAAACCGGAAGTGGCGCTGTAGCTCAAGTGGTAGAGCGCTCGCCTTGAGCTGAAGAGCTGAGGGACAGCGCTCAGGCCCAGAGTTCAAGCCCCATGACCGACCAAAAAAAAAATAAATAAAATAAAATAAATGAAAAGTCCTGTTCTGTGGGCATCTAGTCATCTTATGCACTGTTTATTACATTTTGAACTTGTGTCAGACATTATTACAAGCTCAAGGATTGTTCTTTACCACTTGAACCAAAGCTCAACTCCCTAGGTATTTCTTTTTCTTTCTTTCTTTTTTTTTTTTTTTTTGCCAGTCCTGGGGCTTGAACTCAGGGCCTGGGCACTGTCCATGACCTTCATTTGCTCAAGGCTAGTGCTCTACCACTTGAGCCACAGCACCACTTCCAGTTTTTTTTTTTCCCACAATAATTGCTAGTTTTATTTTATCTCTTGGCAGAGGCTTGGGAAAGGGTTAGTGGTTTTGGGAGAAGGTACAACTTCTGTGACTGTTGGGGGAAAGTAAGAGTAGTGCCTTTCCAGCTTTTTTTTGTGTGGTACTGAGGAATTAAACAGGGCTTCATGTATGCAAGGCAAGCACTCTACCACTAAGCCACATCTAGGTATTTCTTTTTAAGTAAGATAATTATTAAGTAAGATGTGTTGCATCTGTGTCTGTCTCTGGCTTATACTTAAAAACAGGTATAATTAAATTTTTAATTTTAATTTGCTGCGCTTAAGGTATAACCCAAACCCCAGTGCATTCTAGGCAGGTATTCTTTTTTTTTCCCTGTTGATTTGAACTCAGGGCCTAGGCACTGTCTCTGAGCTTCCTTTGCTCAAGGCTAGCACTCTACTACCTGAACCACTTTGGCTTTGATGTGGTACTGAGGAATCAAACTCAGGGCTTCGTGTATGCTACACAAGCACTCTACTACTATGTCACGATCCCAGCCCTGGGCAAGTGCTATTGCACTGTTACTAGTCATCCTAACTTTTTATTTTTTTTAATTAATTAATTTTTATTAAGGTATTGAGGATTGAACACAGGGTCTCCCTACTTCATAGGCTGGCGCTGTACCACTTGAGTCACACCTCCAGGCCATTTTTCCATTGACTATTTTCAAGATGGGGTTTCACAAAAGCCCAGGCTGGTCTTGGCCACAATCTTTCTTACACTTCCCAGGTAGCTGAGATAACAACTGAACACTACCATGCCTAGTCATTGGTTGATACAGAAGAGCTGGACTCAAACCTCAATTCCTGAATCTCTGCCTCCCAAGTAGCTAGAATTACAAACTTACGTCTGTGTGTGTGTGTGTGTGTGTGTGTCTGTCTGTCTGTGTCTGTGTCTGTGTCTGTGTGCCTGTCAATTCCTGGATCTCTGCCTCCCAAGTAGCTAGAATTACAAACTTGTGTGTGTGTGCGCCTTTGTGCCTGTGTGTGTGTGCTTGTGTCCTGGGGCTTGAGCTCAGGGCCTTGGTGCTGTCATTGACCTTTTTTTGCTTAAGGCAATACTCTTGTCACTTGAGCCACACTTCCACTTCTGGCTTTTGGGTAGTTTATTTTAGCTAGGGGTCTTGCAGACTTTTCTGCTGGTGCTGTTTTCAAATCATAATCCTTAGACCTCAGTCTCCTAAGTAGCTAAGATTACAGCCTCTGGTGTCCAGCTTCTAATATATTTTTGGTGTCCAAAATTATTATAACATATTATAGCATAAATTATATAGCAATTTTTCTTTGCTTGCTTTCTTTCTTAAAATATCTTCTAACTTTATTTTATTTTTTTAATTTTTATTTTTTGTTGGTTGCGGGGCTTGAACTCTGGACCTGAGCGCTGTCCCTGAGCTCTTCAGGTCAAGGTGAGCGCTCTACCACTTGAGCCACAGTGCCACTTCCAGTTTTCTGTTGGTTAATTGAAGATAAGAGTCTCATGGACTTTTCTGCCCGAGCTGGCTTTGAACCATGATCCTCAGATCTCAGCTTCCTGAGTAGCTAGGATTACAGGCGTGAGCCACTGGTGTCTGGCTTGTCTTCTAACTTTATTAAAGTGGAAGCATTTGAATGATATTGTGCTTTGTGAGACAAAGCTAATTCAAAAAAAGTTATAAATACTTTGTGATATTTTTTATTTATTTTATTTGTGTTGGTGCTCCGGGTTGAACTGGATACTAGGCACTGACCCTGAGCTGCTTTTGCTCAAGGCTAGCACTCTTTCACTTCAGCCACAGCTCAGACTTGTAACCCTACCTACTCTGGAGGCTGAGATCTGAGGATCTTGGTTGGAAGCCAGCCTGGGCAGGAAAGTTGGAAGTGAAGCTATAGCTGAAGTGGTAGAGTGCTAACCTTGAGCAAAAAAAAAACCTTAGGGACAGTACTTAGGCCCTCAGTCAGAATCCAAGACCGGCACTAAAAACAAAACAAACTCCCCCTCCCCCACAAACCCAGCCTACAGGCTGGATGGCTCACACTTGTAATCCTAGCTACTCTGGAGAGTAAGACCTGAGACCTGTTTGAAACCAACAAAGGCAGGGAAAGTCTGCTAGATTATCTCCAACTAACCACCAGAAACCAGAAAGTAGAGCTCCAGTCTTGAACAAAAAAGCTCAGGGAGAACATAGTGCCCACGCCCTGATTTCAAATCTAGGGGAAAACAACAACAACAAAATCCTCCAGGTTAGGGTTATGTAGCTCACTAGTAAAGAGCTTGTTTAGCATGTATGAGACCCTGAGTTTGATACTCAGCACCACAGTTCACAATTTTTTAAAAAGCCATCATCCAGGTGCAGGTGGCTCACGCCTGTAATCCTAGCTACTCCGGAGGCTGAGATCTGAGGATTGTGGTTCAGAGTGAGCCTGGGCAGCAAAGTCCGTGAAACATTTACCTCAAATTAACCAACAGAAAATTGGAAGTGGTGCTGTGGTTCAAGTGGTAGAGCACCATCACCATCTTTATTTTGAAGCCAGAGCCAGCCTGGGCAGGAAAGTCCGTGAAACTCTTTTTTCCAATTAATCACCAGAAAATCATAAGTGGCACTATGGCTCAAGTGGTAAAGCACTAGCTTTGGGCTGAAGGGCTGAGGGACAAGGGACAACACCCAGGCAAGGAGTTCAAGCCCCACTACTGGCTGAGGTGGGGGTGGGAAATGGGGAGGGGTAGGGGGAATAGTCTGTTAGGCTCTTATCTCCATGCAAGGCAAGCACTCTACCACTGAGCCACCTTGTCAGCCCTCTTACCTCCATTTAATCACGAAAAAGAACTGGAAGTGGAGCTGTGGTTCCCAGGTACAGTGCTAGGCTTGTGTACTAGCACTCAAGTATAGCTCCCAGGCCCTGAGTTCAAGCCCAAGGACCCAAACAAAGAAGGAGGGAGGGAGGAGAGACTAAAGATAATTTCCTTTGGGACAGTTAGTTACTTATGTTTGTTGATAAACATGCTTAAGTTTTGTGAATGTTTATTATTGGAGGTTGAATTATTGTCTAAAAGAAAACATACTAGGGGGGCTGGTGGCTCAGTGGTAGAGCACTTGCCTTGCATGCATTAGGCCCTGGGTTTGATTCCTCAGCCACCACATAAGCAAAAAGAAAAAAGCCGGAAGTGGCGCTGTGGCTCAAGTGGTAGAGCGCTAGCCTTGAGCTGAAGAGCTGAGGGACAGCGCCCAGGCCCAGAGTTCAGGCCCCACAACCAGACCCAAAAAAAGAAAAGAAAACGTACTAGGAAGTGGAGTCGTGGCCCAGAGTGGTAGAGCTGAGCAAAACAATTCAAGGACAGTACCCAGACCCCTGAGTTCAAGCCCCATGACTGATTACCCCCCCCTCCAAAAAAAAATTAAAAACCAGCCTATATTTTAATAAATCATGTAAGGATTTAAATTCAGGGATTTAAACTCAACTCATGGAAACGCAGGACTGGCTGAGAGCTTTTCTAGATCAACTGAGATATATGATTCATGCATGCTAATTTAAATTTTTTGTTTTTCAATTCCATTGCTTGTGTTCTGAGTTTGAACACAGGGCTTGTTAAACAGAGGCTCCACCGCTTGAGCTATGCCCCCTGGCCTTTTTTACTTTAGTTATTTTTTGGATAGGGTCTTGAATTTATGCCCCAGCTGGCCTAGAGCTGTAATAGGTAGCTATCTCCTTCCCACATAGCTTAGATGACCGATAGTGCTACCACACCCAGCATTTATTGGTTGAGATGGGGGTCTTCTGAACTTTGTCCGACAGGCTTAGAGCTATAATTCTCCCAGTCTCCACTTCCTGAGTAGCTTAGAGGTACCACATGGAGTAAATCTGAATTAGGCATGTATGTAATTAATTGGACAGATAAATGTACTTTCATTGTCTTCTCATAAGAAGTCAAAGGTTAATTGCATGAAGAGAAAAATTGTTGACCAAAACAGAACTTTTGAGATACTTTTGACCTTCCTAGCACTGAAATCTCTCAGCATTTCATGTTACTGATATTTAGTATAAGATGATGGAAACAAAGTTATAGCATCCTGGCTTGGTTTCAGTGGCTCATGCTTTTGATCCTAGCTACTCAGGAGGCTAAGATCTGAAGATCAACTTTTGAAGCCAGCACAGTCAGAATATTATCCTCAAATAAGCACAGAAAAAACTTGAAGTGGCTCTGTGGCTCAAGTTCAAGCTAGCCTTGAACAAAGAGAAACAGACCAAAAAAAAAAAAAGTTACAGTATCTGGTTTTAATAGCCCATTAATTTTTACTTTTTGGCAAAGATCTAGTAAGCAGGAAGACGTATACTTCTGAAAGAAATAAGCTGAATTATAGAATTCACAAACTTTATAGACCATGATAATGACAGTTTGCCTTGTGATGATTAAAATGTGTTTGTGGTCATGTGCCGGTGGCTCCTGCCTGTAATCCTAGGATTCAAAGCCAGCCCAAGCAGCCTGTGAGACTCTAATTTCCAATAAACCACCAGAAAACTGGAAGTGGCGCTATGGCACAAGTGGTAGAGCACTCACCTTGAACTGAAGCATCCAGGCCCAGAGGTCAAGCCCCACAATCACCACCAACAACAACAAAAAAATTTGTTTATGACTTTACTATTTATTACTATCCCACAGTACTGTGAAATTTGTGAAATTTATGTAATCATTCTCAATAAAAATTTATTTTAAAAAACATAACCTGAAGACTTGTTAGTCACAGTCAACTTTATTTTCCTTTGAACATTAAATGAAATTTCTTGAGATGTATTTGTTCAAATGTAGATCTCTGGAGATTAACAGAACTCACAGTATCTTTTTTAATATAAGGCTTGATCCACAGAACCAAAGAGTAATTTTAGAACTGTGATATACTAGAAATTGTACTGTCAAACCTATTTTGATTTTTAGAACATAGCTACTTTGTTGTTTTTTGTTTGCCAGTCCTGCAGCTTGAACTCAGGATCTGGGCACTGTCCCTGAACTTCTTTTGTTCAAAGCTAGCACTCTACCACTTGAGCCACAGCGCCAATTCTGGCTTTTTCTGTGTGTGGTACTGAGGAATCAAACTCCGGACTTCATGCATGCTAGGCACTCTACCTAACACTAAGCAACCTTCCCAGCCCTAGAATGTAGCTACTTTGTAGAGCCCTTGCCTAGCATGAGTGAATCCCTGGATTCAGTTCCCAACACTGCAAATGAAAACTATCAGCAAAAAAAAAAAATTATTTTGCTGGTTAATGGTGGCTCACGCCACTAGCTACTAAGGAGGCTGAGATCTAAGGATCACAGTTCAAAGCCAGCCCTAGCAGAAAAGTTCCCTTGAGATTCTTATCTCCAATTAATGACTCAAACTGCAATTGTCACTGTGGCTCTAAGTGGTAGAGCTTTAGCCTTGAGCAAAAAGAGATCAGGGACAGCACCCAGGCCCTGAGTTTAAAGCCCCATGGATCAGCCTCTCCCCCCCCCCCCAAAAAAAAAAAAAAACCACAAAACAAAACACCAAAAACTTATTTTGGCACCTTATTTTTATCAACTGCTAAGATTGATCCTTAAAGATCTGTCTCTTCTTTTGTGCTGGTCCTGGAATTTGAACTTAGAGTCTGGGAGCTGTGCCTGAGATTTTTTTTTTTGGGGGGGGGGGGGGTCCAGTCGTGGGCCTGAACTCTGGGCCTGGGCACTGTCCCTCAGCTCTTCAGCTCAAGGCTAACCCTCTACCACTTGAGCCACAGTGCCACTTCCGTTTTTTTTTTTCCTTTTTGCTTATGTGGTGCTGAGGAATCGAACCCACGGCCTCATGCATGCAAGGCAAGCACTCTACCCCTGAGCCACCTTCCCAGCCCTGTGCCTGAGATTTTTTGATCATGGCTAACACTCTTAATCACAAGAGCCACTCTACTTTCTTGGGTTTTAATTGGTGATAATAGCCTCAGACTTTCCTGCTTGGGTTGTCTTTGAACTGTGATCCTTAGATCTCAGCCTTCTAAGTAGTTAGGATTACAGGTGTGAACCACTGACATTCAGCTAGAAAGCCCAGATTTTAGCCTGGTGCTGGTGGCTCACACCTGTAATCCTAGCTCTCAGGAGGCTGAGATCTGAGGATTGTGACAGAGCTAGCTTGGACAGGAAAATCCGACAGGAAGAAAATCCGAGAGTCTCTTATCTCTAATAAACCACTCAGAAAACCGGAAGTGGCGCTGTGGCTCAAGTGGTAGAGCCCTAACCTTGAGCTGAAGAGCTGAGGGACAGCCCCCAAGCCCAGAGTTCAAGCCCCACGATGGACAAAAAAAGAAAGCCCAGGTTTTAAACTAGCATTGGTAGAAAAGTTGGAAACTTATTTCCACCAACAAAAAAGATGAGATATACAAGACACTATGTTGAAAACAAACTTTACGACTTTGGTAAGAGGTGGAGGGGAGGGGGAGGGTAGTTGTGGAGGTGGGAGGAAAGGGATGGTAGGGGAAAAACAAAGGAGGAGGCAACAATGCTTGATAGGAAAGGTACTCATTACCTTGCTTATGGAACTGTAACCCCTCTGTACAGTATTTTTACAATAAAAAATGTACAAAAAAAGAAAGTGGACTAGAGGTGTGACAGCTCAAGTTGTAGAGTACCACTCATGAATAAAAAAGATCAAGCAAGAGCTTGGGGCTCTGAGTTCAAACTCCGGTATGAGTGCATGTGGGCACACACATGCATGTGTGCATATGCACACGCACCCACGAAGTTTGTTGGCTGTAAATAAGAGGATTTTTTAAAAGTACTATGGAGGAGCCAGGCGCCAGTGGCTCACGCCTGTAATCCTAGCTACTCAGGAGGCTGAGATCTGAGGATCGCGGTTCAAAGCCAGCCTGGGCAGGAAAGTCTGTGAAACTCTTATCTCTAATAAACCACTAGAAAACCGGAAGTGGCGCTGTAGCTCAAGTGGTAGAGCGCTCGCCTTGAGCTGAAGAGCTGAGGGACAGCACTCAGGCCCAGAGTTCAAGCCCCACAACCAAAAAAAAAGTACTATGGAGGGATAATCTAAGGAAAAGAGCTTCAGCAATGCCTTTCATTCTTAAATCTTAATAAACAGGTGGCTATAGCCAGGTGCTGGTTGCTCACAGCTTGTATTCTTAGCTACTCAGGAGCCTAAGATCTGAGGATCGAGATTCAAAGCCATCCCAGGCAAAAAAGTCCCTGTGAGATTCTTGTGTCCAATAAATCACTCAAAAAACCAGCTGTGGCTCAAAGTGTTAGAGTGCTGGCTTTGAGCAAAAAATCTCAGGAACAGCACTCAGGCTCTGAGTTCAAGTCCCAGGATTTACATACGTGTATACATAAATAAGCTACTATTTGTGAGTTTAAGCACCAGTAAGGAACAAACTACAAAGATGGTTTCCTATTAAACAGATCTGAAGGGACTTTAGAATCTGGACTGACATTCTAGTGGATTTTCATGTAGACTTCATTTTAGTATGCATGCCAGTCTTGGTGCTTGAACTCAGGGCCTGCATGCTGATCTTGGGCTTTTTTTGCTCAAGGCAAGTGCTCTGCCACTTGGGCCATGACTTAATTGGGATAAGAGTCTCTTGGACTTTTTTCTGCCTGTACTGGCTTCAAGCTCCAGTCCTCAGATCTCGGCCTCCTGAGTAGCTAAGGTTCCAGGCATGAGCCACCTGTGCCCTGCTGTCTTCATATTTATAGCTTGTGATACAATCTGGTTTAAGTTACTCAGATATAACCCCAGGGACAACTTTCCTTAGTTTCCTCAGATAATTGTATGATAAGTTTTAAGTAGCATAATATGTTAAAATCTCTCTCCATAGCCCAGATTAGTCTTGAAATGATAACTCTCCTAGCTCCACCTCCCAAGTACTAGAATTATAGCTCCTGCCTTGATTGTACTTTTCAATATGCCTTAGTTCAAGTGTTTTTTGTTTTTTGGGTTTTTTTTGTCAGTCATGGGACTTGAACTCTGGGCCTCAGCGCTGTCCCTCAGCTCTTCAGCTCAAGGCTAGTGCTGTACCACTTGAGCTACAGTGCCACTTCCGGTTTTCTGGTGGTTTATTGGAAATAAGAGTCTCATGGATTTTCTGGCCCAGGCTGGCTTTGAATCGTGATCCTCAGATCTCAGCCTCCTGAGTAGCTAGGATTACAGGTGTGAGCCACTGGCATCCTGCTAGTTCAAGTGTTTTTTGAGACTGTATAACCCAGGCTGGTCTTGGACTCATCATACACCTCCTTCATCAGCCTCTCAAATGCTGTGACTATAGTGTATATGTCTTGCTAAAAATAATCTTTTGGGGGCTGGGAAGTTGGCTCAGTGGTAGAACGCTTGCCTTGCATGCATGAGGCCCTGGGTTCGATTCCCCAGCGCCACATAAGCAAAAAGAAAAAAAAGCCGGAAGTGGTGCTGTGGCTCAAGTGGTAGAGCGCTGGCCTTGAGCTAAAGAGCTGAGGGACAGCGCCCAGGCCCAGCGTTCAGGCCCCATGACCAGACCCCCAAAAAATAATAATAATCTTTTGGGTTTTTTTGTCAGTTGTAGGGGATGAATTCTGGGCCTGGGCACTGTCCCTCAGCTCTTCAGCTCAAGGCTAATGCCCTACCACTTGAACCACAGCACCACTTCCAGCTTTTTTCTGCTTATGTGGTGTTGAGAAATCAAACCCAGCGCCTTATGCAGGTGAGGCAAGATTTCTATCACTGAGCCAACTTCCCAGCCCCCCAAAATATTCTCTACCTTATCAGTAGTCTAATTTTTTATTTTTTTGTTCAGACTGAACAGATTTTTTTATCCTACCCATATTAATTATTTTTCTGCTTATAAATAAGCATCTATAAATAGATGGGAAAGGATAGGTTATTATGGTGTAGGTATAATGTGGGTATTTGTTACATGTTCATCTTTTTGTTGTTCTTTTACAGTGTTTCATTGGCAAGCTACAATAATGGGACCAGTAAGTATTCACATTAATTTCAGATAAATAGTTTATGTAATTTTCTCATTTTAAATCTACTTTTTTTTTTTTTTTATCATTAACAGAATGACAGTCCTTATCAGGGTGGAGTATTTTTCTTGACAATTCATTTCCCAACAGATTACCCCTTCAAACCACCTAAGGTAATTGAGATGTGACAATTGCTTTTAATGAATTCTGTATGATACTAATAAACCGATATACAAAATTTTTCTTTTCATACAGGTTGCATTTACAACAAGAATTTATCATCCAAATATTAACAGTAATGGGAGCATTTGTCTTGATATTCTACGGTCACAGTGGTCTCCAGCACTAACTATTTCAAAAGGTAATGAAATAGTTATTTAATATCAAGATAAGGCAAATATGTTTTTTGTCTTTTTTTATTTATTTTTTTTTTATTTTTATTTTTGTCAGTCATGGTGCTTGAACTTGGCCTGGGCACTGGCCCTGTGCTCTTCAGCTCAAGGCTAGCATTCTACCACTCTGAGCCACAGTTTTACTTTCGATTTTCTATTGGTTAGTTGGAGATTAGAGTCTCACAGACTTTGTTTGCCAGGGCTGGCTTGGAACTGTGGTCCTCAGATCTCAGCCTCCTGAGTAGCTAGGATTACCGGTGTGAACCACCAGTACCAGGCTTGCTTTTTATCTCTTTAAGGCTATTATTATTAGGGAGGGCCATACTTCCAGCCAAAGTTTGAAGCCTTAGTTTGAACAGATTGCTCGTTTCCTTTTAAAAGGAACAATCTGAAGAAGACATTGAGACAACTGAGTTAGATTTATAAGCATAAAATATTTCTTGGTATGGTGACTGTTTTGTTGATGGTACTACTCAAGAAGAGATTGGGGGCTGGAAATGGGGGTTAGTGGTAGAGTGCTTGCTTAGCATGCATGAAGCCCTGGGTTCGATTCCTCAGTATCACAAAATCAGAAAAGGCTGGAAGTGGCACTATGGCTCAAGTGGTAGAGTGCTATCCTTGAGCAAAAGAAGCTTAGTTTAAAAGAGTAAAATAAGACAGTTAATCCACAGTCAACCAACTTTTCAGATCCATGAGTCAAAAGGAAAAGAAAGAGAAATATCAGCTCTTGAGATGGATACCTAATATGAATATAGACATTAGGTTCTGTTTTTTTTTTTTTTTTTGGTCAGTCGTGGGGCTTGAACTCAGCTTGGGCCCCATCCCTGTGCTCTTCAGCTCAAGGCGAGTGCTCTACCACTTGAGCCACAGCACCATTTCTGGTTTTCTAGTGGTTTATTGAAGAGTCTCACAGACTTTACAGCCCGGGCTGGCTTTGAACCACATTCCTCAGATCTCAGTCTCCTGAGTAGCTAAGATTACAGGTGTGAGCCACTGGTGCCCAACAAGGTCCTCATATTCTTGTTCAGCTTTTTTTGCTTACATCTGGTGTTCTGCCACTTGAGATATGCCTCTATTCCAGCTGTTTTGCTAGTTAACTGGAGATAGTCTCATGGACTTTGCTGCTGCAACTGGATTGAACCATAATCCTCAGGTCTCAGCCTCCTGAATAGCTAGGATTTAGATGTGAGCCACCAGCGCCTGGCTGACCCAACTGTATGCTTTTAGAATTGAAAGTGACTATGGATTAGGACACCAATGAAAAGAGGTATATACTGATGAAAGAATCATATGTAAATAAAACTTAAGTCACTTCCATGAAGATCCATGCATGCTGTTAAACGAGAAATTAGCCTCTTACAGAAGGTATAGAGTACATTATAATCCAACATCAATTTTCTTTGAAGGTTCTGAGTAGTATACTAAGAATCCTTTCCCATTTTTCATTCCAAGAAAAAGAGAAAGACACTTAAAATTTGTCTCTTTAGAGTTATGGAGGGGGCTGGGAAGGAGGCTCAGTGGTAGAGTGCTTGCCTTACATGCATGAGGCCCTGGGTTCGATTCCTCAGTACCACATAAGCAGAAAAAAAAAGCCGGAAGTGGCACTGTGGCTCAAGTGGTAGAGCGCTAGCCTTGAGCTGAAGAGCTGAGGGACAGCGCCCAGGCCCAGAGTTCAGGCCCACGACTGGACCCCCCCCCCCCCCCAAAAAAAATAGAGTGATGGAGTATGAATAATTTTGGAGTATATTGTGTCTATGCATGAAAATGGCATAAGGAGTCTAAGGAACTGTTATATAATACAGGAAAGAAAACAGGAGGCTAGTGTGACTAAAGGATAACACAGTATGTGTGGAATAACATGGTGAAGCCTTTCTCATAATTGATACATAATTGAAATGATGAAAAAAAATTTTCTCTTTGAAGACTGTGTAGCTCAAATGGTAGAGTGCCTGCCTGTCTTGCAAGCATAATAAGGCTTTAGTTCAAACCCCAGCAAGGGACAGTGTTGAAGATTGTCCTTTAAAGGTGCCTTATTAGAAAAATTAGTAAAGGGAGTTTTTATTAATACTAATTTGACAGTATGTAATTTTAGGCAAGTTGTACTCTTGCATATTTGATAGGTCATGAATATATCTTTCTATACCAGTCAACACTTTCAGGAGCACTCACATCTATAGTCATTTTTAGGAAATACATGAAATCTTTTCTATTACAGTGTTCTATGTAATTGTCATCATTAGATGATGACACCTGACAATGGAAGAAAAGTAATTTTGGGACTGCTCTCTACCAGAATTGTGGAGTCAAAAAAAATCTCCCTGGAAGTAGAGATCTGGCTCATGTTGTAGAGCACCAGTCTTATGTGGAAAAAGCCAAGCAAGAGCATGATGTAACTAGTGCCAGTGGCTCATACCTATAATCCTAGCTTCATAGGAAGCTGAGATCTGAGGATCACAGTTCCAAGACAGCCCAGACAGAAAAGCCTGTGAGACTTTTTTTTCTCTTTGTGCTAGTCCTACACCTTGAATTCAGGTCTGGACCTTGTTCCTGAGCTCTTTTGGCTGAAGGCTAGTACTCTGCCACTTTGAGCCACACCACCACTTCGTTTTCTGGTGCTTAATTGGAGATAAGATCATCATAGACTTTACTGCATAGACTGGCTTGGAACCATGATCCTTAGATCTCAGCCTCCTCCTAACTAGGGTTACAGGCGTAAGCCACTGGTGCCAGGCAGACTCTCTTATCTCCAATAAACCAACAAAAAGCTGGAAGTAGAGCTGTGTTTCAAGTGATAGGATACTAGCCTTGAGCACAAAAGTTCAGTGACAGTACCCAGCCCTGGGTGAAAGCCCAAGGACCAGCATACACACATGCACGTGCACACACACAGAGCTTCCCTCATAGTTTTTTGTTTTTTGTTTTTTGGTCCGGTCGTGGGGCCTGAACTCTGGGCCTGGGTGCTCTTCCCTCAGCTCTTCAGCTCAAGGCTATCGCTCTACCACTTGAGCCACAGCACCACTTCTGGCTTTTTTCTTTTTGCTTATGTGGTGCTGAGGAATTGAACCCAGGGCCTCATGCAAGGCAAGCGCTTTACCACTGAGCTACCTTCCCAGCCCCTCCCTGATAGTTTTGAGGGATTCCCCCCCACCATATTCTGTTAGTTGGGCAATATTTTTGTTGCCCAACTGAATGATAAAGGACATGTCAGTCTTTATTTACCTCTCTGAGGCCTTTGATCTTTGGAGAATTAACAAATTCTTTTTCTGTTAAATTTGGTGTTCTGACTATAAAGTACATTCAGAGTCATTGCTTCTTGGTAGAGAACATTAGAGAGAAAGGGATAGTAGAGTTTTATTAGCATTAGAAGAGAAAGATTTGATTCCATTAGGTCAGAAGGTAGTACTGAACTTAGTATCATTAGTTCTCTTTTGTATATAGTGAAATGTGTACTATTGAGGGGATGGGAAGGTAGCTCAAGTGGTAGAGCACTTGCCTTGAGCTGAAAAGCTGAGGAACAATGTGCAGGCCCAGAGTTCAGGCCCCACAACCGACCAAAAAAGATAGAAATGTATACTATTGGGATTTGTCTGTGTTATCACTGAAAGAAATGGCTTAGAAAAAAAATCTAAATCATCATTGAAAAGATTTTGAGACCTTAATAGAAAGTATGTTATATAGTCCTCTGAAGTAAGTGTGGATGTTCCCAATTTGGTATAAACATATTGTCGATACCTTTTTATATTTTTTTTCTTATGCTGAATTATTGTTAGCTAACAATAAAGCAAATTAATTGTATTTGAAATGATATGTCAATAAACAAATAGTAATTGTTGAGTTCCACAGTTAGCATTTTTGCTTAAGAGTATTAGGTAGTGTAACTGTTCTGTCTTTCAAGCCAGGTGCTGGTGGCCCATGGGCAGATCTGAGAATTGCGGTTGAAACCAGCCTGGACAGAAAAGTCCATGAGACTTATCTCCAATTAACCAGCAAGGCAGAAGTAGAGCTGTGGCTTAAATCAAGTACTAGAGCACTAGACTTGAGCGAAAAGCTAAGGGACAGAATGTAGGGCCTGGGTTTAAGTTCTTGGGCACCAAAAAATATTTTTGCAAGTCATTTTTCCCTAAATGGAGTTTCTACAAATTAAACTTAATAGGCTTTGACAACTCTGACAGTTGTACTTGGTCTAGGATTTGGAAGCCCTGTTTTTCACTTTCGCTGTGCTTAGAATCAAATTGAGGTCTTCATGTAGACGAGGCAAGTGTCCTATCCCTAAGCTCCTCCCAGCCTGGCCTACCTGTTTGTCCTCCCTCCATCTCTCTCTTCCTAACTTTTGTGCTGGTACTAGAGCTTGAATTTAGAGCATCATGGTCTCACTCATAGCGTTCTATCCAGTTAAGCAATGCATCCAGTTTGGCATTTTTGCTGGTTAATTTGAGAAAGAATCTTGAAGATTTTTCTGCCCTGACTGAGTTCAAACCATCTTTTATCAGGTCTCAGCCTCCTCAGTAGCTAGGATTGCAGATGTGAGCCACCAACACCGAGCTAAGACATGGGTTTTCTAATTCTGTTTCATTCTGGCAGGGCCATTGGACAAGTCACTTCACATGTCTGAGCCAGCTCCGTTAACAGTTTAAAGAAAATCATATATGCACTTCTTATATCATGGCATAATTGTAAGACTTTGACCAAAGGGGCTAATACTCTTATCTGAGAGACTAAGATGTCTATTCATTCTCCTTTCTTTTAATCTTTAAGAATAGTTTTAGGGAAGAAAGATATTTTCAGTAGTCATTCTAATTTTTGATGACTGAACTTTGAAATCTGTTTAAGCTTCTTAAAATCTTTGATGCCTACTGCAAATGTAAAGTTAGATAGAGCTTTCAAAGCTGCAATGAGTATAGTATAGTTTCAAATTTTTATTTGATGGTGCTGGGGATGGAACTCAGTGCTTTGTGGATACTAAGTAGTGTACCACCTATCTACACCCCTGGCCCTGGTTTTTTAGAATCCACCTAGCTACACCCCTAGCCCTAGAGAATTTGTTGACATCTTGTGTTTATCTCAACCTTTTGCTTTTATTTTCTACTAATGCATACATATTTTTTCATCCTAGTACTTTTGTCCATCTGTTCTCTGTTGTGTGATCCCAATCCAGATGATCCCTTAGTGCCTGAGATTGCTCGGATCTACAAAACAGATAGAGAAAAGTAAGTATGGCCTGTAGATAGAAAGGTCTCTGTGGTAGGATAAAGATGTTATATAGACTCTTCCTTATCTAAGGGCTAAATATGGGCCACATATTTAAAATGAACTACTAAATACTGTCCAAGAGATAGGAGTATTTACATGAAGTATCATAGGTGATACTAATTTTATCTCTTGTTTCATATGACTTTCACTGTCTAGGAACACTCATGTACAGCACATTTACAACAGCTTTGTGTTTTATGCTTGGCCTTTAACACAAAGCATTTAAAATCAAAATACCCATTTGTCTTCCCTAGGTATTTATAAATTAATGAGAGAGGGCAATACCATTTTACATAATCTAAAGGAGGAAAATGAATAAATTCCATTAGACATGAAAGCCCCAAATTTCTTCTGTAAAAAAAACTTGATGTGCAACTTAGATATTTTAGTATTTTAGAATACTATGAATTATTAAAGAATAATCAGGATAGTAACTGGGCTCCTGTGGTTTATGTTGGTAATCCTTAATCCTAGCTACTCAGGAGGCTAAGATCTAAGGATCGGGGTTCAAAACCAGCCCAGGTGGGAAAGCCCATGAGACTCTTATCTCCAATTAACTGCCTAAAAGCCAAGTTGTGGTTCAAGTTGTAGAGTGCTAGCCTTCAGAAAAAGAGTTGAGGGCTAGCACCCAGGCCCTGAGTTCAAGCCCTAGGACTGGCACACTAAAAAAAGAGTAAGAAAGAAATTCTAACCATTACTGTATGTGTTCCATGAGATTATAGGAGGGATTATGTCTTAGAGGTGGGCTTTCCAAGCACTGGTGGCTCACACATGTAATCCTAGCTACTCAGGAGGCTGAGATCCAAGGATTGCAGTTCAAAAGGAGCCCAGGCAAGAAAGTCTGTGATTCTTATCTCCAATTAACACGAGAAAACTAGAAGTGGCACTGGTTCAGAGTGGTAGAGTGCTAGCACCTGCGCCCCCAGTTCAAGCCCTACAACATACAAAAAGAAGTAGGCTTTTTCTTTTTCTTTTTTTTTTTAAATGGAACTATACCCGGAATGGAGATTCTAATAGCAGTTGCTTCTACTTAAGTTTTGATTGTGTTTATGTCTGAATAGCATCCATGGTCCTGTATTTCTTGCTGAAATTTTTATTTTAAAAAATTGCTTTTAATCTTTTAGTGTTATTATAAAGGTGATATGCAGAGGAAAAAAGTGTGTGTGTGTGTGTGTGTGTGTGTGTTCCCAAGAATCATTTATTGCACATTGCTATCTAAAGTGTGTCTTATTGCAGCCAGTTCAGATGGATTGGATAAGTGTCTGGGGGAAAAAAAGTTCATAAAGAAGATCAAGCACACACGTTTGTTCTCCAAAGAACGTTCTTGCTGAAATGAAAATACCTTTACTTGCACAACACAGCAAAGGGGTGGAGGAATAAAAGGAAAACCAAACTCAGAAACAAATTTGAAGAGTTTGCTTTGTCAATCTTAGCTGCTCAGGAGGCATAGCTCTGAGAATCACAATTTATAAAATTAGTCTTAATTTGAAAAAAACTTTTTTTTTTTTTTGCCAGTCCTGGAGCTTGAACTCAGGGCCTAGGCACTGTCCCTGAGCTTCTTTTGCACAAGGCTAGCACTCTACCACTTGAGCCACAGCACTACTTCTGGCTTTTTCTGTTTATGTGGTACTGAGGAATTGAACCCAGGGCTTCATGTATGCTAGGCAAGCACTCTACCACTAAGCCACATTCCCAGCCTTTGATTAAAATTTTTTGATGGGAAACCATTTCATCTAGTATATAATAATTGAATGCTATTAGAAGGCATAACTTAAGTCATTGTAGTAATAATATGGTAGTCAGTAGAACTTTTACATTGCCTGTTTTGTTAACATTGTTCTGATATCTTTGTTTTTGTTTTGTTTTTGAGAAGTGTCTCTCATTATGTTGACCCTGAGCTCAAATATTTCTCCTGTCTCAGCCTCTCCAGTAGATAGAACTATAGACATATACCATCATGCCCAAATGTGTATCCTTTCTTCCCCCTCTACCCTCACTTTTAAGTCTTTTTTTTTTTTTTTTGCTAATTTTAGTACTGGAATGTTCTTCAGCAGCATTCATCTTGTCAAGCAAATTGTTGAAATAAGTCAGAACCAGTTGTATTGTTACAAAAGGAAGTGTTAACATTCATTAGTTAATTTAATGAGGCATACTTATAATCCCAGCCTTTGGAGGCTGAAATAGAGGAATTTCTAGTTTGAGACTACCCTTGGCTACATGAGACCCTATTTCTCCCTTCCCCCACAAAAAATACATACACATGCATATGCCTCAAATGAAGACTTACAAATCAAGTGTGTAAAAAGGTATATGTTAGCAAATGTAGTTATATGAAATTGTTTTCCATAGTACAGCATGTCCTTCTGTCACTTGAGTGTAGCTGTCTTACTGATATGAGGTATAAAAGTGACTTTGCTTGACTGTCCTAGAAATTGTTGCCCTGAAGTTACTAGATGGGATAATGAGTGCAATCTGTTGATTATTGACTCCTTACCTATGTTAAGCCAAGCTTCTCTTTGTATGTACAGGTACAACAGAATAGCTCGGGAATGGACTCAGAAGTATGCGATGTAATTAAAGAAATTATTGGATAACCTCTACAAATAAAGATAGGGGAACTCTGAAAGAGAAAGTCCTTTTGATTTCCATTTGACTGCTTTCTATGAGCCCACGCCTCATCTTCCCCTGTGCACATGTTTACCTGATAAAACAGCAGTGCTGCGTGTTGTACATACTTGGAACAACAAACTAGAGATACTGTACTTCTGTACCAACATTGCCTCCTAGCAGAGAAGTATGTGTATGAAAAGCCAATCTTCCAGGCGTAACCTAGGTGTGAGACAAAAAACTTTACTTATTGGCAGAAATTTGGATAACGGCAAGGTGCGAGGGATGGTGGGCACATGGTGTGTACTTGGATGGGGGAAAGCTCCACTGGCCTGTAGGAGATTGTTTTTAAGTGGAATCCATTTAAAATCAAAACCGTTATGAACAGCAAGGTGAAGAACATGAAGTTATTTCTGTATTCATTTTCTTCGAAGGACCTACAACTTAGGTGAAAGTTATGACCAACCAGATTAAACTACCCACATCCTGTATTCTAAGGTCTAAGTTTAACTGGTCAACATTTAAATGGATTGGAGCTATTAGTACAAAAAGTGTGATGGGCTTTGTTTCCAACTCTTTTACATTTCCCTACCCTTTCAGCCTTTCATCCTCCCTCTCTCTCTCCCTCCCTCTCTCTCTCTCTCTCTCTCTTTCTTTCTTTCTCTCTCTTTCCATATTCTTTGGTTTGTATGTGGTTTCTCAGTTAATACATAGCTAATAGCTCTTATTTTTCTTATGTTTTTAACTGCTTAGGTCTATTTGGATGTAAGGGTGAAAATTCATTTGATGGAAATACTTGTGTATATTTAAAGACCCAATTGCTCCTCTGGAGCTTGTACGTTCAAGAATGATTAATCTGTGTAATAAACTGATTACTACAGTCATTACATATAATTTTGTGTGAATAGGCTTTTTGATTTTAAGAACTTTGTCTAACTGAGATTAGTGGTGGGTGTTCCCTCACCCCTGAAATGTTTTCATTTATACTGGTTGCATTTTAAAATCATGAAACAATTGCAGTTTACATAGTTAAAAAAAATACCTTGAGTAATTTTACTGAACAAGATAAAAGGCATCAGCTTAAAGGCATTTTTGTGAAATGTGTATGTGCAGCATTCCAGGAACATGACTGTTACACTAAATAAGAAATTTGCTTTGTTAATGAAACTAAGCTGCATCTCACCAAAACCTTGTGACATTCCCTTGGTACATAGAACATAAAACACGAAGGCATTGCTATTTGGTAAGTGAAGCCTCTGTGACTGTAATTATATAGAGCAACTCTGACCAAACTTGGGAACATGAGCACAATCTTGTATTGGAGAGTCTACGTAATTACTTTGCACTAACATTTGCAGGATGTTCATCCAATTTTAAATTGTACTGTATGTGGCTTTTTAAAGTCTTCCCTTGACTCTAGTAAAATGTAGTTTGAAACTTGTATACTGTGTTTGCCAGAAACATCATTCATGTGAACTAGGCAAGTTATCCCCATTCCCCTTCTTTACCTAATCTATAATTGTAAACCAGGCCAGCCTGAAGGCCATGGCTGATGCTCTCTAGCCATCAGATTCTTTAAAATGCATCTTTACACTCTTGCACAAAAATCGAGGAATAAATATCCACTGCTTTTGTTCACTTGTTCACCTTGTCTCATCTCTCAGTGTCACTGCTCCTTTATCTCAGGACCTACCTATGATATCAGTTGAAAACCCTTTAAAGTTCTGTGATTTTAGCTATTGGCTGCTTAAAAGCATTTCAAGGATGACTATTAACATCCTTGACCTTGCAGATGAGGTTTGACAATTAGGATGAAAAGTTAGAATTGAGCTCAAAATAATCCTGTGTTCTTCCTATCATGGGCAGTGGGAAATTCAGTCTGTGCATGTGTGTATGGGTTGGTTGGTTTGATTTTTTTTTTTTTCCTTTCCCCAGTGATACAGATCAGACCCAGGCCCTTACATATCCACAAGTCAAGTGCTCTCTCACTGAGCTGCATCCTAGTTCGAACTCAATATTGTGGTTTGGTTTTTATGTCAGTTGTGGGGCTTGACCTCTTGGCCTGGGCACTGCCCTGAGCTCTTCAGCTCCACTTCTGGTTTTCTGGTGGTTAATTGGAGATAAGGGTCTCATGGACTTTCCTGCCTGGGCTGACTCTGAACCACAATCCTCAGATCTCAGCTTCCTGAGTAGCTAGGATTACAGGCAGGAACCACTGGCAGGGCCTGCCTATTGCACAAATCTTGAAAGCTCATTTTTTTTTTTTTTTTGTCGCCTTAGTGACCAGATTACTACCATTTGTTAGGTGGTATACAGATATTTTTCAAAACAATGCTTTTAAGTATTGTGCTAAATAAATAAAAGCTGCCATTCTAGTGTACAAGTGCCACATAAAAGGTTTGTATGGTCACAGAAAGTATTAGGTCCTTGAATCCAATTTAGTCTTAACCAATTGAATAGGAAGCATTGAAAGGATCCTTTACATCCATCCCAGGAGATTCTCCCCACCCCACCCCCTTTCCGGAGGCAAGCAGACACAGGAGAAAGATTATTATAAGGTTTATTAGAGGGGGCATATTTCCCAGGAGAGGGAGGGAGGGAGCACATGTCATCCATCCCTATCCAGGAAGCAGGAGGGTCTGTAGGCAGGAAGTGAGTTAGGTGCATCCTCAGGTGGGTAGAGAGGGAGTGGCAGCTGTATGGTGGGAACTGTAGGACTGGGAGAGGTCAGTTTTGGGTAGAGCTGAGGACCAAAGTTGGGCACAATACTAACATTTCCCCACTTTGTTGTTTAATAAAAATAGGGGTGCCAGGCCAGGGGTATGGGCAGAGGTCGTTTCTTCTGGAGCTACTTCTTGTTCCTATATGACAATAGTTATCTAAAATGCAAGACATTAATAAAAGGCAAAAATTGCTGTTAGTAGTCCAGAGGTGCTATCAGGCCTGAGACTGCCTTTTCTGTCTCAGAGACAGCATCGTTCCTGACTCCCCACATCCTGGAGGGGAGGGGTGCAAAACTTCCTGCTTCAGGATTACAGTAACCTGAGGAAGAGGTAGCAGATAGTTAAAGGTACCAGGGCTAGCAGGTGTCATGGGCTCTTTTGGCTACTTCCTCCTGGCCTGGGAGCATCGAGGAGTCCCTGGAGCTGGGGACTTTAGGGTGCAGGTCTGCGTTGGGCAAGGCAGGGCAGAGTAAGTGATGTCTCTGGTTGCTTGTAGTAACAGGATGGCCTTGACATGTTCCCAGGCAATGTCCTGGATTGGGGGCTGTTACCCTGTTAACAAACTTTTGGAAAGGTTAGGCAAAAAAGCTGACAAGGTGACAAGGTCAGTTACCATGAATGACATAGGAGAACATACACTGGCCAGGGGCCAGAAAAATTCCATTTGGTGTATAAGCCCAGTTGTAGCTCATTACAGGGAAGGAAGGGGGTGCTAGGGTCTTTTTGCCAACTGGGTAGGGGAGAGCATAATGGACTGGTTGGGAGTAACCAGTCAGAGGCTACTATAAATACAAATAGCTGGTAACAAAGACAAGACTAACTTTCTGTCCAGTTAGGAGGTAAACGGGTATGGACATTAGGTGGGCAAACAACAATTTCTCTTGATCTCCCAGCTCTGATTAATTTTGAAAGAGCAAGTGTAAAGTGACTCCATTTAGGATGTTATTTCCTCTTACTCCTCTCCGCAGTTTTTTGTTGTCAGGACTGACTTCATGCGAGGGGGGGGGGGGCGGGCAGGAATCTTAGTATCTCCCAGTTGGCATTCACAGGGTATGAACTCAAGGCTTGGGCATTGTCCCTGAGCACTTCTGCTTGAGGCTAGTGCTTTACCACTTAAGAGTCACAATGCCAGTTACAGGTGATACTTAGAGGTGAGAGTCTCTTGAGCCATGCCTCCAGCCTGGCTCTGCTGGTTAGTGGGGAGATGGAGTTTTAGAGGGATTCTTTGTGCCCAGGCTGGCTTTGAACTGTAGAAAGGAGTCTTTGTTACAAAAGCCCTTTTTATTTCCAATTAAAGTATCACGGAAATCAATGGAGAGAGAGATTACCTATAACTTAACAACTGACTAACAATTACTTGCCAGAGTTTTGTAATAACAAAACCACAGTAGATGTTTTTAAACTGCAGATGATTGGCACACTAAGTACCGCCCATTGCCTCTGGGCAGCCTGTTTAAAATGGCTTATATACAACATGTAACTTTTAACAAACCTGCAGACCTTTTATTGGACTACAGCAGTGTAGCCTGTTTAGCACTCTGGTTTACAGAAGCATTTTTTCTGGCTGGCTGAGGAACCTGATCTGTAGTCACCCCACCAATGCTTACCTGTGTAGGCCTTTAGAGAGATCTCAATAAGGACATAATCTCAGGTCCTCAAACTTTCTTTCCTTAGCAGATGAATTTATGTGGCTGTGCCAGCTCAAAAGTCACTGCCAATTAGGACTTTGAGCAGCAGATACAGGAGGTTTGGGAGTCATATCATCCCTCACATTTTACAACCTTAGCTTATACTACCCACTATCACTGATGACTGCCAAGTTCTTTGCCCAGTTATGAGGTAGATAGACATGGGTATTAGAAAGGCTAACAAGCATGTTAGTTGTGTAGATGGGTCTTTTCCAGAATTAAGGTCTATGAGGAAAGCCTACTAAAAGAAAAATAACATTCAGGGTGGTTCTCACCTAGGATCACATAGATCATCTTTCCGGGAGATTCTCTGGCTTTATCATATGTAAAGCAAGTTTGAAGCAAATCTTGATAACCCCTGTAGTAGTTACAAAGGAATGTTGAAGTTTCCTTTTGTTTGCTTACTTAGTTGCTCCTTCTTTTCTATCCTCTCCCCCCTCCCTCCATGGGGCTTGAACTCTGGACCTGGGCACCATCCTTCAGCTCTTCAGCTCAAGGTGAGTGTTCTACCACTTGAGCCACAGCACCACTTCCAGTTTTCTGTGGTTAATTGGAGAATAAGAGTCTCTCGGATCTTCCTGCCTGGGCAGGCTTTGAACCACAATCCTCAGGTCTCAACCTCCTAAGTAGCTTGGATTACAGGCATGAGCCACACTGGTACCCGGCTTCTCTCTTTCTTAAGTAATAGCTTGGGGTACTTTTGACGTTATAATGGGAGCGACCTCTTTTGATCAGTTTCAGGTATTTGCATGCTCTAATATTGGCCAGTATTAGTTAAAAGGAGCATTCATTGTCCTGCCAGTTTCTACAAAGATTTGGGGCAGGCATAAGGGTGTATGGGGAGAGGAAAATATGGTCAGAAAGAGAAAGAAACTTTCTCTGCACTATCCTGACCTAGCAAAAAGCAGAAGCTTTTGGAATTTCCTACTTCCAACTGTTGACTTTCTGAGTCATTTATTTTGAACTCTAGATAAATTGTCAGGAGAAATGGGTTATTTCTGAATTACATTTACAATGCCTTTCCTTGTATGTAGTAAAAGTGAAATTCAGACTATCTGTGTTGTATAGCACCTCTTAATGCTTAGAGGAGGTTTTTGTTGGCCAAGTTTTTTGTTTTTTTTAGGGGGAGGGGATGTACTAGAATTTGAACTCAGACTTGTATTTGCAGTTTGTTTTTACATTAGTGCTCTACCACTTGAGCTATGCCTCTAGCCTGGCTTCTGACTGGGGATTGGAGATCTTGGGGTGGGGTTTATTTTGTGGGAGTAGGGGGTCTTTGTATATGTTTGTAACAAGGCTTTAACTCAGGCTGGTACTCTACCACTTGGGCCATACCTTTTCTTCTGGCTTTTTGCTGATTAATGAGATGAGAGTTTAGATTTGCCTAGCTGGGCTTTGGATCTTGTTCTTTAGATCTCAGCCTTCTAAGTAGCTAGCATTACAGGAGCTAATGCCCACCTTTTCATTTGGCTTTCTTGTTTGTGACTGGCACTCAACATTCTAACATTTTGCTGGCTCATTGGAGATGGAATCTCTTAGAGTATCTGCCCTGGCTAGTTTAGAACTGGATCTCAGACTCCTGTGTAGCTGTGGAGTGAACTACCAAGTTCTGGCTGCCTGTAAGATTTGCTCCCTCATTCTCTCTCTCTCTCCCCCTTCCTTCTTTCCTTCCTTCCTTCCTTCCCTCTTTTTTCTTTTTCTTTTTTTCTCTCTGTGTGTGTGTGTGTGTGTGTGTGTAAACTAGTGCTGTTACTGAGGCTTGAACTCAGGCCTTAGACACTGTCCTTTAGCTTTGCAAAAGGCAGGCATTCTATCACTTTAGCCACAACTCCAATTCTGGGTCTTCGGTGGTTAATTGGAAATAAGAGTCTCACAGACTTTCCTACCTGAACTGAGATTCTTAGATCTCATCCTCTGTGTAGTTAGGATTACAGGTATAAAAAAAACAGTGCTGCCTGTTTTGTCTGTGAGACTTTAAAAGAACGTTTTCTGGCTCTTCTATATTATGAACATACTTTCTTTCCTTTCAAAT